GTGATTGTTGCTCTTCTATGAAAAATAGTCTCTGAGTGATATATATGTATTGTTATGGAACTATGATGATTCTCACGGTTTGCTATATTTCTTTTTGATGTTGTCAAAGGGGGATAAGCATCTGCGAGACGGAGTTGGGAAGCACAAAGTCAGGGGGAGCCTTCAATAAATACAAGAAATGCATCGTCACACGTTTTGCCATCATCAAAAAGAGGAAGTATGTGAGTACAACTTCGTCATCAGATATGTTTTACATGATGTCAAAACTGAGAAAAGCTAGCACTTCTGTAAATTGGACGGTATCTCTATGTCTTGTGGCACTCCTCTGCATTAGAGGTCTTAGGAATCATTAAAAAGAATTTTGAAATTGATCCAAGTCATTAAAAACAAGTTTCTCCATACTTTTTTTCGCATGTGCGACACATATGTTTTTCAGGTCGACACATGCAACTCAGTTTTGAAGCTCGTAGCCTCTGGAAGGCTCAGGTGCACACATACATTGCATAGGTCAACACATACTGAAGCATTTCTGAATTTGCATAAATTCTTATTCTATGTGTCGACACATACGATTTATAGGTCGACACATTTGTTGTTGTTTTAAAGCATGTAGCCTCTGACTTGTTTCGGTCGACACATACCTTCTTTCAGGTCGACACATACAGCTTAAATTTAATGTATGTGTCGACACATATGATATATAAGTCAACACATACTGATTGTTTTGCTCAATTTTATAAATCTTTTTAATTATGAATAAGTCATTTTGGCCCTAAATTTCCAAAACTATAAATACATCATTCATAACTTGATGATACCATAAAATTAGTCTACATTTGCTCTTCATCTTCTACCTCCAATCAATACATATACACTAACTTTCCATTGAAACGATCTTTTGTTTGGGTTCCATCTAGACGAGGTTTGATAACATCCGATTAGGTTCTTGTGTAGCTGAAAATATTGGGTTGAGATTTGTATGGGTCTTTATCTATAAAAATTGCGGGTTTTTCCTCCAAGATCATTAATCAGTTTGGGGGTTTTCGTGCAAGACATTCAAGAGGTAATTGCGACCAAGTGAAGTCCTTTGGAGATAAAGAACGCAAAGGATCCTTTGGAGATAAAGAACGCAAAGGAAGTAGCGAGAGAATGGTGAACTACAATTGAGGTCTTGTGTTACAATAGTTGAAATTGACGGTGCGTGAAAGCTTTGGAGATAAAGTACGCAAAGGAGTAGTAAGTTCCAAATAGTCAATTTGCAATTATTGTGTCTTGGTATTTCTCAAGATCAAAAGAGGAGAAGGGGTTAAATCAACAACAAGCTTAGGGTTTATGGAGTTGCTCTTGAACACTTCTCTTGTATCAACTTTTTTGCATGGTAAGAATTATCCTAATTCTATTGGAATTAGGCACAGACGTACCCAAACGCAAAAATGAAAGCGGGGAACTGTGAAGACAAATTCTCGCGTCTCTTTTCTTATTGCTTTTATTTGATTTAATATTCATCAATCAATTTGTCAAATATCATTGTGTTATCAATTGAGTTGTAAGTAATTTTTCAAACTGTTTTTGATTTACATCAAGTGTTGATATTGCTTATAATCACTTTTTATTATAAGTGATTTTGTGTATCAACACAACTTAAAGGAAAATTTTGAAAAATCACTTGCACACCAAGTGTTTGATAAATTGATTTTGTTCATTCTTTGAATATTGTCGTTGGAAATAACTTTACTAGTAACTTGCTATAAACGTTAAATAAGCTGTAAAGTGATTCAAGCGTATTAACTCAATTATCATTCTTATTTCATACTCTATTTTGTTCTTAAATTTGCATATTCGAGTTTTCAATAACGTTCGTAAAGACGACTTATTTTGAAAAGCACTTCTGCTCAAACTCTTAGAATACTAATTTTTCAAAACCATAATTTTCTTGAATTTTAATTGGGTATCTATTCACCCCCTCTAGATACGTTGCCGCCATCTAACAATTTGTTATTATAGCCATAACCACCATTCTTCATAATCCTCATAATCTTGGTGTGCAAGGTTTGCTCCTTTATCCTTGCTTTTTGTCGATCCCTTGTCTTTCTTGTACCAATAATCTTAGCCAAGTGACCCCACTTTTGACAATTATAGCATTGCATAGATTTTTTTCTCTTTTTTAATTTTTTGGTAGGAGTTTCCTTCTCCTCTTTTCGAGGATTCAGAAGCCCTATCATCGACCTTGTGTTTGTGAGGGTTTGACCAAGACTTCTTACTCTGAGTCTTGTCTCATTTTCCTTTGAACTTGTTGGAACCACCAAGCTTCTTCCATGCATGAGCCTGCAAAGCTTGTATCGAATCTTGAACCCCTTTCCTTCGACAATCCTAATCTCATGTGCCTCCAACGAACCAACCAAATCTTCTAGTTTGAGGGTTTCAAGATTGTTATATTCTTGAGTAACTACGATAACACGATCAAAGTGAGAGGTCAACATACACATTACCTTCTCAACTATCATCTTATCAGTTAGGGTTTCACTACAATACTTCATGAGATGGAGGAGATTCTGCACCTTCGACACATAGCCTGCAATCTTTTCATCTTCTTCCATCGACAACATTTCATATTGTCGTCGCAAAGGCTGTAATTTAACAACTTTGACTTTCTCACCTTCTTCATAGTATTTGACGAGAATGTCTCATGCCTCCTTCGTCGGTTCAGCATGAGAGATTTTGTCGAAACTCGCCGTATCTACTACCGATTGAATACAATACGCAACCTTGCAATCTTTCTTCTTGGGATCCTTGTGGGCGGTTCTCTGTGCGTCGGTGGCATCCTTAGCAAGCGCATGAACGCCATTAGTACCCACTTCTAGAATTTCATGAAAGCCAAACAGATATTGCATTTGTTTTCTCCATTGGATCCAATTCTTGCCGTCAAGAGTTGAAAAAAAATTTAGAATTTCATTAGTATCATTCATCTTTGCAGCGATTGAATCACATTCCCTGAAAACACGACCACCAACGTGAAGGTTTTGAAAACACAATCAATAACACGAATCATAAGCTCTAGACACAAATTTATTAATGCGTGAGATAATTTTAGTGAAAAAAGAAAAAGAGAGAATAAAACAATAAAAATTGATATTATTGAATTTTATTATAGAAACTCAATTATAAATTATATTTATTATATAACTACTTGTACATTAAATTAGCTAACAAACCTTAATTAAACTAAACTTAAATTACTGAATTTAAATTATATTTTATATCTCAATGTAATTAAATATTTTCATTCTAACTATTTAAGCTTGATTCACCATAAAAATATTTCATAAAATTGCAGCGTGCATGGTAGCAAGACGCAATGGGTTAGGCCATTTTATAGCGATGGAAAAAGTTATTAGAGATTGATTCTTGTACGCATTTCCCACTTGAGTAATGGTTTTTCTTAATCAAGTTTTTATAAAAGGGATATCTTTGTATAACTTTAATTAAAATTTATACAACTACATATCATCTTTTCATGTTCAGATCCCTTATTATATGTACAAATCTCTGCCATGTTGAGGTATGTTGAGGTTTTTTTCTTTCTAATTTGTTTAGTAAGAAATAGCAATGCTCTTTTGCTTTACATATGATTTTGTGTAAAAAAATTACAAGTTGCTAACTTTGTACGTCTGTTCCTTTTTATAATTCTTCTTTTGTATTTTTGTAGAAATTTGAAACTACACTTTTATTGGTATGACTTATCGTGAGAATTTTATTAATATCTTATCTCAGTTAAAGAATTTGAATGATAAGTCTATAAACATCCACCGTTCTAAGAGGATCTCGAAATATCTCTTTTTTTTTTTAATGAAATCTCTCATTGTTGTTAAAAGAGAAATGAGGTTATGCATAGATAGTATAGAATATTTTTATATTATCAATTAATTGTTATTATATATTTAATTAAACTAGTTTTGTATTTTAAAAAAATAATAATATAATAAATTGATAATTTTCTATTAAATAATAGTATAAAATTATTTTATACGGTCAATACATATCTATTAAACTCTTTTTAAAAAAAGTATTTATGTCGAATGTTTAAGGAGTTTGTTTCATTGTTTTAAATATAATTTTTATTGTTAAATATTTTTATTTAAAAAAATATATATAAAAAAATTTATTAAAATTTCAAATTAAAAACTAATTTGAATATTCTTAAATTTTTATTTTAAATATTACATCATTTTGTTATAATTTTTTTTATATATCAATATCTTAAAAAATCAATTAGTTTTGAAGTTATTTCAAATTATTTTTTATTAAAATTATTTTTGAGATGCAAATTTTTGAAAAAATTGTAATTTTGACTATATTTTGATCTTCAATAATGTATAATTATATCATAAGATGTCAACATTAGTCTTTCGATTTATAAAAACGAATTTTTTTAAAAACGTATTTATAAAAATCATTTTTAAAAATAGAATAGAATTTTTTTTATAGTTAAAATAAACAGACCTTAAATGGGGGAATATAATGATATAAAGGTGACACCTTTAGGTTTAAGGGAATGGAGAAAAAAACTGAGGAGTTTATCTCTTTAGCTTATCAATCAATGGTTGAAAATAAAGAACGGTGGTCAAAAGCTTTTGTGGGCAAGTTGAAAACTTTTGTTTCTGCGTTCAACGTGCAACTTAATTAAGCCATGGAAGAAGGAGACGGAAGAAAGTAACAGAGTTATGTGGGTCAGAGCTTTCGGCATCTCGTGTCATGCTTGGAACGGAGATTTTTTCGTATCCCTTGTAAATTGTTATGGTTCTTTTGTTTGTATCGACGAGAATACAGCGAGTAAATCTCAGATGGACACGGCCAGGTTTTTGGTTACGGTTTCGTGTTCTTTTTTTATTAGGGATTGGGTGAAAGTGGACATTGATGGCAAAGTTCACAAGATTTTTCTTAGAGAGGAATCAAACAACTCCTTTCGTTTAGGGAAGACTGGTTTCAAATCTTCATAAAAAATGTTTAATCATTCTTCTTCGGACGACTTATGGTCCGAGAGTTTTTCCGATTCTGTGGGAGAGACGGAGGATGAGGATAGTATGGAGAGTAACAACAACAATAAAGTTTCTTTGGAGGTGGAGGTGGAGTCTATCGAAAGAAAACAAAGTCCTGGAAAGATGAACAGTATCGAGAAGAGGGATAGTGATGTTTTTTTCGATAACACTACAGAGTCATTCAAACATCAGAAAAACATGGAACAAATGGGAAGTTTAGATGCATCAATAGGAAAGGTGAGGGGCTCGATGGATTTTTCGATGGAAAGGCCTTCTGTTAATCCAACTTTGAGTAGACAAGTGGATATGAGGAAACACACTAAGTTAATAAAGTTCAAGCATGTGGTAGAGATGGGTGGTCTTTTGAATAAAAACCATAACAGGCCCGGTAGGAGATTCAAAAATAAGGGGAAAAGTGTTGAGGTTCGTTCTCCGGGGGATTAATTCTCTTCCAGTGGGTTCTTTTGGAGTATCTATCTCAAATGGTATTGGTAATAGTAGCATTCTGGTTTTCCATGGCAATCATGAGGATAACTCAAACATTCGCAGAAATAATGCAAAATAGTGGGAGAACTTTGGTAGCAATGTAGGATAAAAATTATGGAGAGTCATTGAGGGATTAGAAGTAGTTGCGGCAGAAGGAAAGAGAGATTACAACAAGAGAATTTTAGAAATGGAAAGGGTTGACAGAGGTAAAATGCAAATAGGGAAGGTGTGCTCATTCAAGTCTCAATGATTATTGGGTATTTGAATATTAGGGGAGGCGGTAGTGTTTTGAAGAGGAGGAGAATTAGTGCGTTGATCAATAAGAGCAAAGCGGACATTTTTGTTATTCAAGAAAATAAGATGACAAACATGTTGGACTTTGTTGCTAGGAATTTTTGAAACAATGCCGATATCGGGTATTCTTTCTCGAATTCAATAGGGCTTTCAGGAGGGACATTGATTATGTGGAAGGAAAGTTCGGTGGAAGTTATTAATAGTTTCAAAGGAGAAGGCTTTTTGGGATTACAGGTGAAGTGGATGAACCATTTTTATTACATAGCGAATATTTATTCTTCTTGCGATCTTAGGAAGAAGAAGATGCTTCGGGAGTCTCTGTTGAATGTTAAAATTGGGAATGTTAATGGAGAGTGTATTTTTTGTGGGGATTTCAACTCTATTAAAAACTGGAGGGAGAGGAAAGGGAGGTCGGAGTTGGTGAATAGTGGATAAATGAAGGTTTTCGCGGACTTTATTGATGCTAGCGGTCTTGTGGATATTCCTTGTAAAGGGAAGAAGTTTAGTTGGTATAATGATGACGGGAAGGCATTGAGTAGAATATACCATTTCTTGATTTCAGACACGATAATTAATAGATGCGGGGTTGTGGGGAAATTTATTGGTTCGAAGATATATCAGATCATTTTCCCATTTGGTTGGTTTGTGATGGGAAATATTGGGGGCCTAAACCTTTTAAAGTCAACAACAAATGGTTTTCTCACAACTTGTTTATTCCTTTCATTTAAAAGGAGTGGAGGGAGTTAATCATGGAAGGGAGGAGTGATTTTGTGTTAAAAGAGAAACTTTATCTTCTCAAAGGGAGACTCAAATGGTGGAATGTGGAGGTGCTTGGGAGGATTGATTTTAACATTAAGGAAGAGGTAAGGGAGGTGAACAAAGGGGAGTCGTTATTACAGGAAGACTTGGAGGATGGGAGGGAAGGTGTGATTGCTAGTAGAAAGGAGGCAACTGGTCATTTTCGGTTAAACTTAAGAATAAAGGAGAATATGCTTATTCAAAATTCGAGAACTAAATGGCTTAATGAAGGTGATACTAATAGTGCTTTCTTTCATAAGGCTTTGCGGGAAAGGAGGAGACATAATCACATCGGTTCCATTAGCTCTTCAAGAGGTTTGTTGGACTCTGTAGTAAGGAGGAGGTCCATTATCACTTTTCGAGTAAATTTCTTGAGACGGATGTGGTTAGAACCATTTTGGAAAGTATTGCTTTCAATCAACTTAAGGAGTCTATTTGGAGTTATGGTGATTCTAAAAGCCCGAGACCCGATGGCTACTCTTTCACTTTTATCAAGAAGTGTTGGTATTTTCTAAAGGAGTGTTTTTTAGGTTTTACATGGATTTTCATTCCAGTGTAGTTTTATTAAAGTTGGTGACTGACTTTGTTCCTAAGTCTCCTAATCCATTGGATTTAGACGACTATAGGCCAATATGCTTGGTGGGTTGCATGTATAAAGCTCTTTCTAAGTTATTGGCGGGGAGGTTGAAAAGAGTTTTGTCTTCTTTGGTTTCCCCTTATCAAATTGTGTTTGTGTTGGGGAGATAACTATTAGATGGAGTTTTGGTAGCAAATGAGTTAGTGGATTATGTTAAGAAGGAAGGTAAGAGTTTTATGCTTTTCAAGGTGGATTTTGAGAAGGCCTATGACAAGGTGAGTTGGATTTTTCTTAGATACATGTTGAAGAGATTGGGTTTTGGAGACCTTTGGAGTAGATGGATAGAGATTTTCATTTTTTAAAGAAAAATGTCGGTGTTAGTCAACGGGAGTCCGACCAAAGAGTTTGTGGTGGAAAAGGGCTTGAGACAAGGAGATACTCTTTCCCCTTTTCTTTTTGTGTTGGTTGCAGAAGGTTTAATAGGTTTAGTGATGAATTCTATGGAGAATGGGGATTTTTCCGGGTTCACGATTAATGGAAAATGTATGGTTGATGTTCTCCAATTTGCGGATGACACTTTATTGATCGGAGAGAGCAATTAGAAACATGTGTGGGCCATTAAAGTTGTTTTGCAAGCTTTTGAGTTGGTTTCGAGTTTCGGCACCAATTATCATAAGAGCAAACTTATCGGCATTAATACTAACAATTTTTTCTTAGAGGCAACTTCGTCTTTTCTCTCTTGCAAGATGGAGGATAGTAATTTCACTTTTCTTGGTATTCATATTGGTTCCGATCCTAGAAGGATCGCAATGTGAAGTCCTTTAATTAACAAATTACGGGGGAGATTATCTAGTTGGAAGCATCATTTCCTTAATTTGGGAGGGCGAATAACTCTTCTCAAATCGGTGTTATGCTTGTTATCTATTTTCACTCTCTTTTTACAAGATGCCGGTTAAGATTTCTAATGAAATTACTAAAATTTAAAGTAATTTTTTGTGGGGAGGGTTGGAAGAAAAAAGGAGGATTCATTGGGTACGGTGGAACGATGTTTGTTTACCTTATGAAAAGGGGGGATATGTATCAAGAGAATTGAGGAATTCAACTTGGCTTTACTCAATAAATGGAGATGGCGGATCCTAAGGGTTTGGACTCGTTGTGGTATAACTTATTGGTTGCCCGTTATGATGATATTTTTCTTCAGGTGATAAACAAATATAGCTCCAACAAGGAACATGGATCTACCTCCGCTTGGTGGAAGGATCTTATTTCGTGTGAGAGGAAGAGATATAGGGAATTTTTTTGTTAATAATTGCAGGTTTACTTTAAGAAGTGGATTTACCACTCCTTTTTGGTACACAAAATGGTGTAATGATATTGTTTTAAAGGTGGATTATCCTGTTATTTTTTAGGCTTCGTTTCTTCAAATTGTAGCAGTTGCGGGTTTTGGTCATACGGATGGAACAATTTGGATTTGGGGCAATATGGGCCATCATTATTTTGTTTCGGTGCTGCTTGGTTTGGTCGTTGAGCAGTTGCAGACAGAAATTCAGAGCGTTTCTTGTGCTCAGGCGAGAAGAGATCGAGTGGAATGGTTGTGCTAGGATAATTGTGTGTACTCGGTCAGCTCGTACTACTCTCTTTTGGCTGGTACGCATATTCCTTGTGGTCCGAGTAATCGATTCGACAAAGCCCTTAATTTGATTTAGAAATTAGAAGTACCTCAAAAGATTAAGGCTTTTGGGTGGAGAATCTTTATAAATTGATTATCGATGAAGGGTCTTTTGAGGGTCAGAGGCATTTTTGATAATCATGATTTATGTGTTTTGTATGAGAATGTTGAAGAAACTTTAATTCGTTCTTTTTTGCATTGTCCGGTTGCAAAGTTAGTTTGGGGGAGATACAGGAGTGGATTGGTTTTTCTAGATATTCCAAGGCATGTGTTAAGGGAAGCTTTATGTCTTGGTTTGGTTTTTGTGAGTCCAAGAATGTGAATATTCATAAAGTGGGGTGCATTTCGATGGCGACAACTTCGAGCCTTTGGCCGATTAGAAACGATATCCTTTTCCGAAATGACGGTTGGAATGTTCTCGATGTCGTGTGGAAAATCAAAGTGATGATTTGGAGATTGTCTTTTATGGGTAAAATTACTCACTCCAATTGTAGTTTTTACGAGTTCAATAAAGATCCTTTGTTCTACTCATCGTAATCTCACTTGGTTTGTAATTTTCCCTTTTTCCGAGTATTATCTCGTGTCTTTGTTGTAATCAGATGTTGAGAATATTTAGTTCTCTTTTTGTTAATATATCTTGATTACTCAAAAAATGACCTTAAGCGCTACGTCATTTAGTAATTTCATGTAAGTTCTTGTGAAAATATGCTTAAAAAATCAATTTGATAGCAAAATATTGGCATTCGCCATTGTTTAACCTATAAGTCGTGCGTGGCGTGTTTTTTTTTTAATTTAAGAGCATTTCACTATTATTAGGACCCCGGGAGATGTGGCGTAAGGTGGAAAAAGAAGGTTTGGACTTCAAATTTTATCAAAGGTGTAAATATGTGCCAACAATTGATCATTAACTATTTGTCATTAAAAAAATGAGGCGAGAGCTAGGTGTGCAAGGCATTGTGTGAATACTTAGATTTTTATTGTTAGTATAAATATTATAAAATTGAAAGGTTCAACCACACCAAGACATTATGATGTGTGAGACAAAGAACAATGAAATTTAAAATAAATAATTTCAAGCAAAATTTATGTACATGTGGGAGAATATTAGCAAATCCACATGACTGAGAAGAATAAGATAAAATGATGAATAAAAAAAGAATTTGTTTATCTAATTCAATATAACCAGTCTATTATGGGTGGGGGTAGTTTTTCAATTCACTATATTTCAAGAGTTATTACAAGATAATACAAAAGAGTTATAAAAAAAATAGGCTTCCTAGTTCTCAAGAACATCTCTTATTTTCTACACAAATGTTTCCCTAACTCTCAATATATGAATCACACAAATTCAAGGTTACGGAAAATTATTTCTCAATTCTCTTAGGTACCTATAAAGGTCTTCCGACTATTACCCTCCAACTCTATAAATCCTTCTATTTGTATCTCTAAGTTTCTCCCATTAGAATTTTACCATTTATTCTCTCACGTGTTCTCGTACCAAGAAAAGAACTGAAAAAGTTTTAAAAGGTGTGAGGAAGGGCACGTGTATTTGCTTGAAATGCAATGGATTTCTAACAAACGTAAAAACACATTTGTTTTCCCGTGGTGTAATGTGTTGTGGAACACACATCATTAATACTAAACACAATGCATTTTTTTGAATCCTCCTATATTGGTTTTGAAGGAAAATACTGAAATTCAACATATTGACTTTAAAATTGATGATGAAGTCAATTTATCCATCAACCACCTTGGTGATTTCAATAAACCTTGAGTCTTTATTCAACAAACTTGATCAAGTCCAAGCAATACTTGAACCTTGATCTAGGAGATCGTATCCACTTGCACCCAACCATCATTTACAGTTTAGGTAGCCTAGCAAGCGCACAAGCATGGTTCTTCATCAGTTAATTTCTTTTACCATTCACTATTTTCAACTATTTTTTGTTTCCTTAAATTTTGAATGTCTCCTTGAAGGTCTTAGGTATTGGGTCTTGTAACCATCCAACCACATTCAAAGTATAACCAATAAGGGCATCACAATTATATCCATAAGATGGTATAACTTCCGTTCTTACTTTATCATGAGTCAAATGAAAAACATCAGCCAAAATAAATTTTCCCCCGTTTGAACTAGAATCAGGAACATTAACTTCCTCTGAATCCCTAGTCTCCCTGGCAGAAACCTCCATCTTAAACTGAGTCTTTTCAGTCACATTTTCTGATTCTTTCCTCTCCAAGTCTTTACTCATATTCCCCTTAAGGGTCTCATCAACAGTAACATACCTGATTATGATGAATTTTGATCCTATAGGTTCCAATTTCCACATCTTGTAACCCTTCATATCTTTTGGATAACTAATGAAAACATATTTCACAACCCTAGTATCAAACTAGCTTATCTTGATATGTATAAACGTGAAAGCTTTAAACACCTTCAAATTAGAGTAGTCTAGTGATTTTCTACTCCAAACCTTCATAGGTGTCCTGGAGTCTATTATTGTGAAAGGACGTATAACAATCGTGTATGATTCTTTATCACCAACTTTAGTCCATAATTTCTTTGGCAACCAAGCTCTTATCAACATACAAGCAACAGTTTTATGCCTCTTTATACCTTATTTCAAGCAAAACTCATTAAATTGTTATGAAACAATCTTCATACCTCTGTCAAATCTTCTTTCACTGACAATGCATTGATCTCAAATCTCATAGTTTATTTTGTCATGAAGGTCTTTCTAGATAATGATGCATGAATAAACAAAGGATCCATCTAAAAGATATAACCTAATCTTAGACCATTTATCCATGATTCATGTACGATGCAAAATTTTCAACACCTCATATTGAACTCTAGTGTTAAAACCTAGATAATCAAACAAGCTTATGGACAATTATTTTTGCATAATTTCGAGAAATTACCTCATATTGTACAGAAAGAATTTACAATTATCAAACATTTTAAGTCTAATTGTACCAACATTTTAATTCACAATTATCAACATGGATTTAGCTTCTTGAGCTCCAAAATCCTGGCTAATGCTTGTATCATGGAATGTGAGGGGGTTTAATAAAACTGCTAAGCTTAGGGAGATTAGCTACTGTCTCCTAGAGCTTAGGGCTGATATTATTATCCTGGTGGAAACTCGTGTCAAAGTCCATCATGCGAATAAAATTAGAAAGTCGTTGAATCTTGGTGATGATTTTATTGACAACTATAATTGCCATCCCAATGGTAGGATCTGGATCAATTGGAATAAGAATAATATTGATGTCAAGCTTGTTTCTGCTACTAGTCAAATGATTCACTGTGAGGTGTTGTACATCCTTTGTAATCATAGATTTCATCTGACTGCTATCTATGGATTCAATAAATTGGAGCAAAGAAAGGTTTTATGGCAGGATATGGAGAAACTAAATTAGCAGGGGCCATGGTGTCTTGTAGGGGACTTCAACAATGTCCTTCATGGTAAAGATAGAATTGGAGGCTCCTTAGTTACTGAGGGAGAATTTTAGGATCTAACAGAACTAATGTAGAACATTGATCTTGCTGAGATGGATAGTACTGGAGAGTATTTCACATGGTCCAATAAGCAATGTTTGGGGACCATTTATTCCAGGATAGACCATTTCCTAGCTAACCCTGCCTGGTTTCAAAACCACTTGAGCTATAGCCTTAAAATTTTGCCTCCCCATGTTTCTGATCATGCCATGCTCTATCTCTGTGATCAGACTATGTCCCCTGGGCCTCATAAAATATTTCGTTTTATTAACTATGTTATTGAATCTACAGGGTATAATGATGCTGTTAAAGAATGTTGGAATAACCAGTTGGTTGGCTTCCCTAATTATGTATTGTGGCACAAACTGAAGAGGTTAAGGTTGACTCTATGCAAGATCAATAAGAATCTTCTGGCCTCGAAACACCATATTACCTTAGCTAGGGATAACCTGTCCAAAGCTCAGGATGATCTTGCAGGTGACCTTATGAATACTGAGAAAATCTGGAAGGTTAAGAATTGTACTGAAACCTTGTTGAAGTGGAATGATATTGATGAAGCCATCCTTAGGCAAAGAGATAAAATTCAATGGCTTAAGGATGGGGATGGGTGCATTGCCTTCTTTCATGCCTCTATCAAATCCAAGAAAGCAAGTAAAGCCCTGAATATGTTGCAGAAGGATGATGGCTCTTATGTAACTTCTCAGAAGTTGATTGAAGAGGAAATTTTTAAATTTTATAGTTCTCTCATGGGAAAAAGTGATGACAGTCTGGACTATATAGACATTAGGGCTATGAGGCAGGGTGCTCAGCTGCAGAATACGCAGAGAGAACTTCTGGTGGCCCCTATATCTAATGATGAAATTTATGAAGCTCTCAAAGGTATCAAAGATGTTGCTGCCCCTGGTTTAGATGGTTACTCTGCAAAAAAATTCAAAGCCAGTTGGAATATTGTGAAAGAGGATGTCATAGCTATTGTCAAGGAATTTTTTGATAGGGGCAAGCTCTACAAAGCCTTCAACTGTACCCTTGTGTCCCTTATCCCCAAGTCTGACTGTGTTTCCTCTGTCAAGGACTATAGGCCCATTTCAGTTTGCTCTACTGTTTATAAAATCATCTCTAGAATCATGACTAAAAGATTGAGTGGAGTGATTGGCAGTATTATTAGCCCAAATCAGGCTGCCTTCATCCCTGTGCATCAAATCCATCACCACATCCTGCTTGCCTATGAACTTATAAAGGTGTACAGTCGGAAAGGTGGTCCTCCTCGTGTTATGATCCAATTAGATATGCAAAAAGTGTACGACATGGTGAGCTGAAAGGCGCTGGAGCTGATTATGCAGGAGCTTGGTATCCCCAATATCTTCATCCATTAGATTATGACAGCAATATCTAACACTTCCTATAGATTTTTTGTTAATGGTTGTACTACT